AGAGAGAGAGAGAGAGAGAGAGAGAGAGAGAGAGAGAGAGAGAGAGAGAGAGAGAGAGAGAGAGAGGATTGTGCGCGTGTGTGTGACAGCGGATTGTGTGTGACAACAGATTGTTTGGCAGTGGACGGTCGTTAGCATCTCCATCAAATGATACGTATGATTGACCCATTGGCGGCTCCGCAGCAGCTACTGCTACTTTAATTGTGTGACAATGGACTTTGTGACAATGGACTGTGTGAGAACGGACTAAATTTTTTACTTGGGGCATGATCGTTGAAGAAAGAGAAAAGAAAAGAAAAGGAAAGAAAAAGAAAAGGAAAAAAAAAAGAAGGAAAACGGAAAGACAAGGGTGGACTCGTTGACAAAGGATTTGTCCGACGACGTCTGATCTGATTAATTGTGTGTGTGAGAAATTGACAATGGACTTTCTGACATGCGCTGAGTGACGCTGGACTTTTTTTTTTTCCTTTTTTTTTCGATGGACTATCTTACGTCGGGCAGGATCATTAAAGAAAAGAAAAGAAAAGGAAAGAAAAAGGAAAAAGGGAAACGATGGACTCTGTGACAACGTCTGATATGATTTATCCGCCAGAGTGGCCTGCACTAACCGAAGTAGATAGCCTGAAATGTTGTTGGCGGTTCTAGAGCATCTCACCTCCCTCTCCATTTCTCTCCTTCTCCCTTTCTCTTGCCCTCTGTTCGACTCTCTGTCTCTCTCTCTCCCTTCGTTTCCTACCCTCTGTCTCTTCCTCCTTTTGTTTCCCTCTTCCTCTCCCTCTCTACTCCCTCTCTGCTCCCTCTCTAGCCCCCCCCTAAGGGTTCTCTAAGTGTGCGTCTCCTCTTCTCTTCTCTTCACTGCTTCCCTGTGCTCGCAGCTCTTTCTCCTTGTTTCTTTTCCCCCTACCCGTCTTCCGCCGAACAGAACCTATGGTCATTATCGCTGTATGTAGACTGAAACTTGCCCCAAATACCGCTATAATGACCGTATCTTCTATTCGGGGAGCAAGACGGTATCGTCGCTTGCTTCCCTTCCTTTTCTTTGCCGCCTCCTTTTTGTCCCCTCTCCCTCGCCTTCCCTCTGTCGCTCGTTCCCCACGTTTCTCCTCTCTCGACCTCCTCGCTCTCTCTTCCTGGTACCTCATCGGTTGTCCCACCGGTCCCTACAGGCTGCTTTGTCCGTTTCTGAAGTGCCCCGTGGAACCGTCCTTGTGACTCAGTGGTACACACATGTGTAAGTTGATGCAACAACGTTTTTCAATAGAGATCATGAGTTCAAAGCCTGATAAATGCAGTACTGTTAGGGGTTATGCGCCCCCCCCCCCCCA